AATACTTATTAGTTATTATTACATATTATCTATACACTAACATATAATTTAATATTTATATATTATAACTTACGCAAATCCATTTAGGACTCTTATTATGAAAAACAATCCAGCATGCTGTACCGAAGAAGAAATTATATTAAAAATTGCATCCATTCCCATTGATCCTAAGATAACAATTCGCCTTCCTTTTAAATCACTACAAATATTCCAGAAATATGTTCCTGGTATCATTCCTAATAAAAGGTCAAAAATATATTTATAATAATTTACACATTTAGTGTAATTCTGTAAAGCTACATATTTTTAATATTAATAACGTTAGATTTTATTAGACGTGCAAAGAATGAACTTTGTGAAAATTTGCAATGTCGGCGAAGTACTTGAACTAGGTAGTCAGTACTGAGCACAAAACACATTCTCTACGTATACTACCACGCAGTCTACGAGATAAACTTACCAAAATATGGAGCTGAATTTATTAATGCTTTTTTTATTGAACCTATTTTAAAATCTTCTTCAATTGCAGGTAGAATATTCGACACGGCCATTGACGATATGGCACACGTAAAAATTATAAAGCCGCAAACTACTAGCATTAAATATTGAAATCGTCCCGTTCCTATAATAATAATTATAAAATAAATATTATATACTATGATGTAAGCAATAACCAAAATGTATAAACATTTTTGTAAAGTTATAATTAATTACCATATAATCTTTTCATACCTATCAGAAGAAATAAACTTTTGTATAGAGGTCAAAGTGTTTACATTTTTAACTTATTGTGAAACTCACTCATCCCATAATTAAATCTAGCAGTGAATATATGAGAAACTACTATAGTTATATACATCACTACTTTTATGTTACAAAAGTATACTTGCTTGAAATACATTAAAAATTAAATACAAGAAAACATTTTGAATTGAATTTTACTCACCAGACTGATCCTGCGCCTCGTCAAAAGTGACGCCTATTTCTAAAATCAAATAAAAGATATCTTAGTTAGGTACTTAGTACTTACCTACAGGATATCTCGTATATTTTTGGCATAATTATATTTCTTTTTACCTTGATGTTCTGCTGTTCTAACACCAATTTCAATATCAACGTCTTCAGAAACATCGTCTAATGAGGTTCCTAATGTTCTTATGATTGAGGAAAATATTGATGAAAACATTCCGTTTAATTCTTAAAATAAAGTTAAATTAATATAAAAAAAATAATAATATAAAATATTAATATTAATATTTATTTATTTTATATTAATAAAATAAAGTTTTCAAATTCGATTAAAAGTCTGAATGTTAAATAAATTACTTATATCCATGGTAACACAAACTTTGATAGCAACGATTCTTTTGTTAACAACAGGGGTTCTCATATTGAAAATCAAGGAGCGCGATCGGTATACATCATCGACTGGTTCACCGTGAACCAGCTGTACTGGTAGTTTTGGTTTTATAGACCTTTTTTTCTCTATTTACCCACGGTTATTGTAGTTTTATTGGCCGTAACACGTTTGGGTACATAGGACATGGGTATTAACCCTTAACTTGATATTGTATCTTTTTAGATACACGGTTTATATTTAATAAATATACAGAGTGTCTTTGATATAAACATCATATTATTTCATATGTTCGATAGAGACATTCCAAAGAGTATATAAATGTTAATCTGAACATGTGTTGATAAGAATTATCAACGTTAATAAATCATTTCCACAGCCAATTTTTGTTCATGAGCTTCGGCTGTGATAGGCATATATTTAGATCGATATTTTCAAGATAATACCATAGTAAGTGATTAAATAACACTATAAGTAGTTATTTTAATAAGTATATTTCATTTTTATGTAGTCAAACTCAAGTTTTCATCTGTTATTTTATAAATATTGTTGTTAGATAACTGTTGTATCCAAAAAGATACAGTGCTTAATTTACTGTGATTTGATTGTGTATCTTATAGGACACACTGCTTAATTTACTATGATTTTATCGTGTATCTTATTGGATACACTGCTAGATGTATTGAAAATATTTATTGTATCTAAAAAGATACATCATGTGTTATGGTAATTTTGCAATGTTTCAATATTAAAAAATTTAAGTATACCTTTTTTTATCTAGGCATTATAATAATGATTCGAAATCAGGCAGTATCGTCTAGGTCTAGACGACTTGTTAAAGCTGCTTTACCACCCATTGATTCAGAAAGTTCCGATAGTGAAAATGATTCTGATCCAATCAATACTATTTCTAAAAATCAATTAGACAGTGATAACTCTTCAGAGATTAATGAATTCGATTCGGATACTTCAGACCCTCCCTCTTTTTCAAATTTAGAAGAACTATTAGATATTGTAAATATGCCTGTTTTTGACGAAATCGGAAATCCTTTTGATGTTGATTGTATTGGAAATAATAATATAATTGAACCACCACTAGATTTAACTATTTTTCCTACACCTGAAAATTTGAGTATAGATAATAATCGTTCGGAAAGTTTGGATAATAATTCAATATCAATATCTGGATCAGAGAAACGTCGTATTTCGACACCCGTTGAACAAAGAAAATCAATGAGATTAGAACAATTAGCACTACACGATTCATTTTTAGGTCACCAAATGTCACCAATTACCAATATTCAACCAATTGAACAATTACCAACTTGTCATAAAAAACAACAAAAATTTGCACATGAAAAAATGTCATTTAAATGGTCAAACAATTTTAATTTTCCCGTAGATATTCCACACTATAATTTTAAAGAAATCGCGAAAGAAATACTTACACCTTACGAATATTTTAAAATGTTTTTTAAAGATGAAATTTTTGAATTGATTGTCACAAATACAAATTTGTACAGTTCTCAAAACTTTGAAAATCCAATCACAACAAATGTTGATGAAATAAGAAACTATATTGGAATAGAGCTACTTATGAGTATTGTGTCCATGCCCGCTTACACTGACTTTTGGTCTACAAATTTAAGATACGAACCAATAGCCAGTATAATGCCATTAAAAAGATATCAACTATTACGAAGACAATTGCATTTCGTCGATAATTTAACGATTGATCAATCTGACCGTTATGCTAAAATAAGACCTATTTTAGAGCATGTAAAGCAAAATTTTTTATCAGTTGAACAAGGTAAGAAGTTCTCCATTGATGAAATGATGATTCCGTATAAGGGAACAAAGGCTGGAACAAGAAGGCAATATATTAGAAATAAGCCCAAAAAATGGGGATTTAAAATGTTCGTTCGTGCTGGTGTAGATGGTTTCGTATATGATTTATTTCCATATGGTGGGGAGAATACATTTCATCGTACGACATTTACAAACTATGAAAATAAATTTTTCGGGCTTGGTCAAAAAGTAGTTATCGAACTTAGTAAAAGTATTCCAGATAAATCTCTATCTGTTTTATACTTTGATAATTGGTTTACGTCATTAGAGCTAGTTAGTTATTTGCGTAAAAAATTTGGAATTTTAAGTTTAGGCACTATCCAACAAAATCGATTACGGGGATGCAATATTATACCCGATAAACAGTTATTGAAAAAAGGTAGAGGACATTATTCAACAAAATCTGATAATAAAAAAAATAAATATCCGTTGTTAAATGGGCTGATAATAAATGTGTGACTTTGGTTAGTTCTTTTGTTCCAACGACGGAAACAAGAGAAATAGTTCAACGGTACGACAAAACTGTAAAGTCAAGAATAGATGTCAATTGTCCGAAGGTAATTAAAGAATATAACACTTATATGGGAGGCGTTGATTTAGCGGACATGTTAGTATCGTTATATAGAACTGGCATTAAATCACACCGTTGGTATATAGCGATATTCTCTCAATTACTTGATATATGTGTGAATAATGCCTGGATATTATATAGGAGGCATCACACACAATTTAATGGATCAGAAAAAAAATATATGCCTTTAAAGGATTTTAAATATTCCATAGCAAAAACATTACTTACACAATTAAGAATAGGAAGACCAAAAAATACATTGATAGTAAGCAAACGCATTCAAAAACCTACTCCAAAACCAATGATTAACACGCGTCTTGACAATTTTGACCACTTTCCTCAACATGTAAAAAAAGGTCGATGTGTACTTTGTTCTAAAGGCCAAACCGTAATCAGTTGCATTAAGTGTGAAAAAAGACTGTGTATAAACAATACGAGAAATTGTTTTTATACATATCACAAGGAAAAATAATAAAAAACTGGTATATATTTTTTTTAATTACCAATATTATTAAATAATTTATTTGTATTATATTTTTATTGCAAAAGTTAACGTATTAGGTATTACATATTTTAATTTTATTATATTTCATATTTTATATTTGATATATATTTTGTCGATTGTTATAGATTTTATAAAAATGTATAAAATATAAAGTTAAAGTTATCATTTTATTTTATGTTAAGTTTTATTTTTAAACACTTGTTATTTTGTAGTTTCAATTAATAATTATTTTGTAAAAATGTTGGTATTAATTCAATAAATAACAAAGAGATATATAATTTTTACCATTTATATATTATTATATTTTAAATAAATATTAAATTAAATATTAGAATACATACTTTAAAGCCGTGTATTTTAAAAGATACAAAAATGAATTGTGCACTTTAGAGTATTGTATCTTTATGGATACATGGTTAGTTATTAGTTTACACAATATTGTATCTAAAAAGATACATTTTTGAAATTTGGAATTCATGGCAATGTATCTTTAAAGATACAAGGTATAACTCAAAAACTGTTGGCTCAACATTAAAAATGACCTAAAAAATGGACTCAGGACATCCAATTTACTCTAATTTGACCATTTATATAATTTTAAAAGACAATTTTTAGGTTTGCCAAGTTAAGGGTTAATTGTAGGACTTACTGGATCAAATAATGATATAGTTCCAAGCAGAAAACAGTTATCAAAACAATTAGATTTAAAATATGAACTATACGTTTCAATGTTAACCAATTTAGTTGCAAAACATGACTATATTTGTGCAACAGCCGATAAATGGAGTGCCAATAATCGAAGTTACATGGGTATACACTATTTCTTATGCACACTAGCACACTATTAATATTAGTTATTTTATTATTAATTATAATTTATTTGTAGGAATGACTTGTCACTTCATAGACGAAGAAACATATTTTCGCCAATCATATGTCATTGGTTGTATACGCATAAAGCCACAACTACCAAAATATTACTGAGGTTATAATAGACATTACAAAACTTATAAAATTGATCTATCAAAAATAACACATATTGTCACAGATAATGCTTCTAACTTTGGTAAAGCATTCAGAGTATTCTCTTCTCTTCCACCTTATGAAGAAGCAAGTACAAGTGATGAGGGGAATTTTGATGAAAGTAGTTCAGAGAGTTCAAATTTTGATAGTGAATCTGACTGCTCAGACTTGGATTCAGAAAGAGTTAATTTGAATAATTTGTTAACTTTGGAACCAAACCTAGCCAACAATGGCAGTTTTTTTTTACCTCAGCATATGCTATGTTGTGCACATACTTTAAACTTGATTGCAGCCAGTGATATTTCTAAAATTTCTAATAATGATTACAACAAAATTTCTAAGTCAACTTTTAATAAATTAACAAATTTTTGGAATTTAGCCAGTAGAAGTACAGCAGCATCGGACACAATATATAACATTTGCAAATGTAAGTTCCCAGTTCCTGTAGTAACTAGATGGAATTCATTGTATGATGCAACACAAAAAATTTCTAATCACAAAGAAAATGTATGTATATTATTTGAAAAATTACATTTGCCTAAATTAAAAGTTAGTGAGTGGGCATTCATCGAAGAATATTGCAACGTAATGAAACCATTGGCTTATTCCTTGGATAAATTACAGGGTGAAAAGAACAGCTTCTTGGGTTATGTTGCTCCCACGCTTTTAGTTTTAAGAAAATTGTTAATACAGTCCAACCAGTTGACATATTGTAATCCATTAGGTCTCGCAATTGTGTCTAGTCTTGAAAAACGATTTAGTTTTTTATATAACTTAAGTGAACCAAAAAGCAAAAGTTTTATTATAGCATCAATCAGTAATCCAAAATTCAAATTGGATTGGGTACCTGTTCGGTATAAGGATCTTTGTAAAAATATATTTAACGATGAATGCAATTTGATGTCTTCTTTAGTTACTACAAATTCTGACTCTGCAGATGACAGTGATAATATGAGTGATAAAGAGTTTTATAGTTATGTATGTGATCAAAGCTCAAATAATTATTCTACAGATGAAAAAATAAATGTACAAGTATTAAAATATTTTAATTCAAAAAAAAAAAGAGCTTCAAATGTTAAATAATTATCCTGTAGTTAAAAAAATATTTTTGAAGTACAACACAACCCTTCCATCATCAGCACCTGTAGAAAGATTATTTAGTGGTACTATTCAAGTTTTGACATCAAGGAGAAATCGTCTTGGTGATATAACATTTAATAAATTATTGTGTTTTCGATCTAAACAATAAATGTATTATTATTTTTAATATTTTTATATATATTTGCAAAAGAAAGCATTTTTATATTCTGCTAATATGTTATTTTAATCTTACTATAAAATATTTCATTAATTTTTTTCAATATAATAATATGTTTGTATTTTGTATACTGTTTTTATATTTTTATAAATATAAGTACCTATGCTGTTTAATGATATTTTTATACTTGTACACAAGCCAGAATTCCAATAAAAACTAATTTCAAGTCTTAAAAAACTTATCTCAAACTAAAGTTGTTATAATATTATATTATAACTAGAACTGAGTAATGAGTATGAGCATAAGGTGGTGTATTAATTTTTAAAATTTAAATGATGTATTATTATTTATTACATTCAATAATTACAGTTAATTTGAATTTACTTCAACTCCATAGAAAATATGGATATATTAAAACATTCAACCTATCAATTAGGTAGGTATCACTTCACAAAATCACATGTATAGTTTTATATTTATTATTTATATAAGGTAAAAATAAAGAGTTCATTAAATACCAGTTGTGTGTAACAAGATACTTTTTATTGCATTATTGAGAATATTTTTTTATTATATTTATTTTTAATTTGATTGGAATATTGTAATAAAAATACAGTTATTTTAATTTTCAATTAATATTATAAATTTAAATATTGAGGTAATGCCTTATATACTAAGGTAACTATAGATAAAAATTATTTTATCTATCTATATCTAGATAAATTAAATTTCTACAGTATCTATCTATATCTAGATAAATTTAAGTTTAGATATCTTATCTATATCTAGATATTTTATTTTTATCTAAGCACAACACTGGTTCTACCCAAAGTGAAACGTATACAACGGCTAAGAGAATGCGCTGTTAAGTGTTTTCGTGATCCGCAAGCGCGCGGCGTCTAAGCCACGCCCACTATTCTCAATCGACGGCCGGCCGACGATGCTATACTCCGTTCCAAAAGAGAAGACACCGGTTTTGCGCAGCTCGAA